CCCCCCCCCCCCTCCTGAAAGCAATTGTAGCTATACTTCATCTTTTGCGTACCAGCCTTAGGTACTGTACCCAAGAAGACAACACACGACCAGCCCGCCTCTCTCCCGCTCCCGAAGCAAAACCTACGTGCAGCAGCAGTAGTCTGCAAGAGCACACACGGCTGAAGCATACCGAATGCATGCATTCCATGCATTTGCCGACAACGGAATAACAGCAATCCCCCGAAATTTTTCACCCATTCATGTGCCTTTTCCAGAGCGACCTCGAGCTCAATTCAACCCCGCAGCAAATTAATTTATGCAATTGCAATAATAGATTGGATTTGTATGCGTATGCATACCTCTCTGTAATTTTGAAATAAACTTTCTGCCGTTCAGAACATACCGTCCGCGCATGTGCGCGCCCCCCTGCTGTCCATGCCTAAATTTCCGCTGCGGTGATCATTTTCCTTGAGGAGGGGGAGGAGGTTGTGTTTGTCTTTTGTCCGCCGCCGGCGACGGCGATGGTGGTATTGCCGCGCGCGTATGGCAAGCGACAGAAGCGACAGGAGCACGTTAAGAACCTTGTTCGTTCAGCTGCAGTCCATAGCTGCCGAGCCTTCTTTCGCTCCGTCAGCTGCTGCTTGGGTCCGCCAATACTACTACGCACAAGGGCAGAGGTTGGCCTCGGGGAAAAATATATTTCCACGATGTCGCACGAACGGTGTTAGTCATTGCGTTGACCATGGTTTTGTGGTTGATGTGTACCACCATGCCATGATGCCGCCGGCCTGTGTTGACATAACGTTGAAGGATGGAATTTCTCCGCGTTGCTACTGGCGTCAACGCCGGAATACGTCGGTTGTGGCATGTTGCAGTCGTGGTCCTCACGTCCAGCGGGTCCCACAGGCTTTTTCGCCGGCAAGCTTCACGAAAATTGCTTTCACCCCGCCAACGCGGATGGATGGAATGCAACCGTTTTGACTCCCGACACTTCGATGTATCTACAAAGCAGGTTTTGTATATACCTAAAAGGCTGCAGTGCCCCCCCAAACGCCCGAACTTGAAATCCACTTACGGTACAACTCGAGTGTTTTTCTTATGTTTTCTTCCTGGAGATTGAGGCCGCCATGGGCACCAACCATCGCCCCGCATGCCCTCCCCAACACAAGGTACAGTACAGAAAAATGTCGCAACACGCTCTCGCCCCAAAAACCAGACCTAGAAACAACGGCTGCGTTGCGATTTATCCACGTGCTTGTAGCCGTTGCAGACGCTGCTCGTGGAATGCCCTGCATTTGCCTCATAATTCGGTAAGCCTCACGGGCACATTGCCTGTTGATGTTCCTCTTCTTCTTCGTATCGGCTTGCCCCCGTGAATGATGTACGTAAACGAATGTCTTCCTTACCGCCATCTTGCGTCATTCTCTCTCTCTCTCTCTATCTGTCTCTCTCTGCGTTGCCCTTGGTTGTTCCACTGCCCTCGCTGTGCCCTTTCTTGCAGGCTCCAAGCTCCGTTGCGGACGCCGACGGCCTTCATCATCGATGAGCTGCACACGCTGGAGGTACGTCATACCACACCGCGGCCTTCCGTGCTGCGCCGTGCTTAGAGAATTGTCTTCGTCGTTGTTGTTGAAGGAAAAAAAGTTCGGCTACGTCGCGTGCACCGTGCGCTTTGGTTTCCCCCCTTCTTGATCAATCTGGAACGAACCCGGTCGTTTGGCGTGCTGCTGCTGCAGCACGGGTAGCAACAAGCCGTCGCTCGTTTTTTGCTTTTTGTCGCCACCTCTGCACGTGCCGTACCCTACTCCATCACATTGGAACAGACAACTGAAATCGATACCAGGTTCGCTGTCGCTCAATCCCCACCTCGCTGCGTTGACCTGGCGGGTCTCTCTCGGCCATGGACAGGTTTTTCGGAAGCAGGGGCTCGCGACAAGCTTAACCAATTTCGTTAAGGGCATCGCCGAGGCCCACGGGGTAGAATTATTTGTCAGCTCTGAATTGGTGAGGAATCAGGGACCAATGGCGCGGCGGATGATAAATGTCCCCAGTTGGCGTATCATGAGTTCAAGCGTGCTTCTGGCCCCTAAGAACGATGCGAAAGTACCCCTGTCACGACGGGGCACGGTCCCGTATTTGGCGTTTGGACATTTGGGCATATGGGTTGGCCGGGGAAGTAAGGTCTCGATCCCACCTTTGATTGTAGTTGCCGCTGAGGCTCCCCCCGCTGCGGCTCCCCCTTCCTTAATAATGCCGTTTTGACTTGTGCGCGTGGGGGTCATCCCCCCCGCCCCCCCCTTGTTTTTTCCGCTGTGATAACTCCGTTTCTCGTCTCATCCCCCCCCCCTCTGTGGTGAGATGTGACAGCCCAGGAAGTCGGTAGTACCACCGGCCCTGCTCTAGGGATCCTTGGCGAGCGGCGGCGGTATTTCTGGTGATGCCGGTCAATGCTTGAACGACTACGGCACGCGTTTACATGAGTATGAGTACCCACCCCCTCGCCCACTATCCACTCCGTCCTCTGAATGTCGCATGGTAAACAACTATGGCATGCACAACACGAGTACCCTCTCACCCCCTACCCCCTCTCCTGCTGTCCGCTTTCCCTCCGGTCGCTACATGCCCCCCCCCACATCCCCCTGCCTGACGACTTTTTTTTCTTTATGGCGTAATTTTTCCCGCAACGCAGTACATACGAAGCTTCTGGGAGCTCCGAGGGTTCGAGGAGGAAACCTCCCCGGAGGTGCTTCGAGCGTGCAACCTCGACCTCGACGACGGGTCCAACACCGGCGCCTCCACCACCCTGCTGCGGGCGGGCGCGGCGTACACGGAGTACCAGCCGGCGAACGATGAGCGACTGAGCATGTGAGTGAGGTCGCAGCCACTGCTTATTTCTAACGTCCCACGTTCCTTTTTGGCGCCGCGTGGGGGACGAGGACTTGTCTGGCGGTTTTCGTCAGTGTCTTTGTGGTGTCCGTGGTCGTTGTCGTTGTCGGTGTCGTTGCCGTTGCCGTTGCCGTTGCCGTTGTCGTTGTCGTTGTCGTTGCCGTTGCCGTTGTTGTTGCCGGTGCCGCCGTTGCCGTTGCCGTTGCCGTTGCCGTTGCCGTTGCCGTTGCCGTTGCCTTGCTGTTGCCGTTGTCTTTGTCGTGTCCGTGGTCGTTGTCGTTGTCGTTGCCGTTGCCGTTGCCGTTGCCGGTGTCGTTGGCGTCGCGGTGATCGTCCCCTTACCTCTCGGAAGAAAGGACGCTTGTTTTGCTTGCCGTGCCGTGCTTAATGTGAAATGCGAGGTGTGTCCTTTATTCGTGTCCGGGCGGCCGCAGGCGATGGATGAACCCTTCCCGGACATTCTGTTTCTGTCGTTGTTGGTGCTGTCTGGTTGCACGGCACGGAGGCAAGGCCATGTGCACTGGGGTTCTTTTACGCAAACGCGCTTCCTCTCGCTCACCTTTGCCTGAGCATTGGGTTTTGGCAGGTCGTGTGTTCGTGATCATGAAGATTTGTGTGTCCTCACTTGACTCGTTACCTGGTGTGCGCTTCTTGTCTGCCATGTTGACAATACCGCCGCCCCCCCCGCTCATGTGCGCTTTCATATTCCTTATCTTGGGGATGTGTACTTGGGATTTTACCAGCACCCGGCCTTTCTACCACGGTGGAGACGGCTACCTAACGGCGGCGGGGGCGGCGGCGGCGGCGGCGGCGGCTGCCGCCCCTACCCTCGCTGGCTCAGCAGCCTTCATGGGCCAGGGGCGCACAGGAATGGAGTCGTCTGGATACGGCGAAGGTATCGGTGCTTCCGCTGCTGCTGGTGGTACCGTGTCTGGCGGTGCCTCTGCTGCCGCCGATGTGGCCAGCAATCACAACCGCGGTACGGGCGGGGATGGTGGCGGCGACGCCGGCGGCGCCGACGGCGAGACCGTGCTTCCTCCCTCCTCACGCTTGCTGACCAACGAGCGCCTGGCGCAGCACAACGAGGAGGAGAAAGCCAAGGGCCTCGCGTTGCCGTGGGGCACGCTGGAGCAGTCGTCGAAGACAGCGGAGGCCTCGATGCTCTCTGCCGCTGGCGACACAGCGGCGGCCAAGGCGGCGCTGGCCACCGCCGCCGCAACAGCGGCGGCGCAGGACCCGTCGGCTTCGGTACAACACACCGCGGCCGGCGGCGGGTGGCCGGGGGCGGGGCCGGGGGGAGCGGCGGAGCTAGCACCCTCTCCGCCGCCGCCGCCGATCGGCTCGACGGCGGGACCGGCGGCGGCGGCGGCGCTGGCGGCAACGTCTTCGAGCGGCGTCGGCGCGACGGTGGCGGGAATGCTGGGGTGGACCCCTTCCGACCGGCAGATCGTTGCCGCGACGTGCGGGACCGCCTCTGGCGGCGGTGGTATCGTCGACAGGAGGACGCTGGCGGCGAGGGGGCTCCTAGCTATCCCGTCGTCCGGGAGCAGGGACGGCGTGGTCGACCTCACCTGCAGGAGCAGGAGCCTGGCGGAGCAGGACGAGGAGCAGATGCAACTGGCCATCGCGATGTCGTTGTCGGCGGCAGCTGCTGAGGCTTCCTGCCGTGGCGGTGGCGACGCTGCTGCGGCGACGGCGATAGAGAGGAGCGATGACGCGAGGCATGACGAAGCGGTGCGCGGCGGGGAAGGAGAGACCTCCGCGGGAGACGACACGGAGACGGAGGAAGACGCCGACTACGGTGGGCAGCTCTCGGGCGGGGACGCGGACGCTGCCGGGGGCGGCATTGCTTCAACGGCGGCGGCGGCGGCGGCGGCCCCGACAAGCAGTAGTGCTAGGTCTCAGGTGAGGGCCGGAGTGGAACGCGGCGCCGGTGGCGGCGATGGTTCGGGGTGCGGCGGCGGAGGCGGCGGGTGGGGCAGGCGGGCGGGGGGGGTAGTGGAAGACGGTCGCGGTCGCGACAACGACAACGATGGCGTCTCACGACGGCTCCGGAGGCGGAGGGACGAGAGCGGGTCCAGCACGCCGGGAGAGCCGTCACCCTGCGGCGCTGACGGAGCGGCGTCGGTTGGGATGGAGCTGGGCGGTGTGGGAGCGGGGCGTGACGGTAACGAGGGACGCAGAAGCAGTAGCCGCGATGGCGGCGACGACGGCAACACCGCATTGTTGACGGAGAATGTGTGCATCACTGCCGCGAGGGACGTTGGTAGCGGGCTCGGCGTGGCGTCGGAGATAGCGGCTCCGCACGCGCCCCGCCCACTCGACGCGGCAGCGGCAGCGGCGCGAGAGGGAAGCAGCAACCGTCCCTCCTCTCTTCCTCCCTCCCGTCCGGCCTCTCCTTGCCCTTCCTCGGCTTCGTCGTGCTCCTTTACCCTGGGGCCCGTTCCGTCCCGATCCCGCACTTGTACGTGGAACCAACAACAACCAACCACGGTCGGGGCGCCAGGGCACCGTGACCCCAACAGCGCGATGACGGTGTCCAAGGAGAATGATCCCCACCACGACCGCCACCTCCACCAGGATCAAGCTAGGAAGGCCGTGTATCAGCCCCCGCCTATGGGGCTCGGGGCACGATGCCGACAGCATCAGCACCAGGCTGCCTTTGCGGGGGACGGCGGCGGCATGATCGGCGCCTTGGGCGGGGTCGTCTACCCTACTACGACCGCTGGTGGTGGAAGTGGTGCCGACGTTCCGGGGTTTGGGGCGGGACGGTTTGGGAACGTCGGGGTCGGTGGGGGCGGTGGAGGCTTGACCAGCGATGGCATCGAGCCCAACGACGTGATGATGAGGGATTTCGGTGTCGGGGCCGACGGACTGGATGGAGTCGGCCGGTTGGATGACAAGTTGATCGCCGTGGCGGGGTGGGAGGGAGATGTGAGCCTTTTTCGGGTGCTTTTGGGGTTTCGCGCGCGGGTCGAGCGTCTCGTTTTTTTTTTTTTTTTTGGGTGGAAGGGCCGCGTGAGTGAGAATAACAGATCTTCGCTTTGTTGCCGTTCTTGACTCGCCACCCACACCCTGATACCCTGATCGTTTTGTGTCGTTGTCACGTGCGGTTATGTTGAGAAGAATAGATCGATGTTCCTTCGTCTGTCATGTCGAGGTCCTGCTCTGGTCACGCTCACGAGCATGTGCCTGCCATTTCGACCTAATTGTTTCGCTCGTTTGCTAGCTGGTCTTCCTCCGCTTTGCTGATGCCCTTTGTCGGTTGAGGCGTGCTGCAGCGTAGTTGACCTCACTGACCGTTTCTTGGCGGCATTGGTTGGCATCTGACGGCAACATCGTCTGTCTCGTCGCGCGTGTCGGAAACAGCTCTTGCAGGAGGTCATAATGTATCCACAAACTTGAACAATAAAAAATACCCAAAACAAAACCAGCAACACCCCGAAACCCAATATGTGTGTTCCAAGCCTTTGTTGATCTCTTATCTTATCAGATGGAGAGTTTCAGCGTGCCCCCGCGTGGGGCGAGCACCACGCACTCTGCGCATGCCGGATTCCCCTGCCCCTGATTTTTTCTCTGCTGGCGTGATTTTTGTTTTCATTATGCGTGTGTGCTGTTGTCGTCAGGACAACGACGAGGAGTTACGGCTAGTCATGGAGGCCAGCAGGCAGTCCCACGAGGAGGAAATGATCCAGAGAGCCACGCGGGAGAGCCAACAGGCAGCAGCAGCGGCAGCAGCGGAGCACCTGCCACAACCCCCTTCCAACACGGCGCCGCCACCGCCGCGGTCGTCCTCGTTGCCGCCGCTTTTACGAAAAGGGGTCGCCGCTACAACCCCGAACGGCGGCGGGCCCGACGTTGCCGTGCTGCCGTCGTTCGGTTCCCTCGAAGCGCGGAAGAGCACCGGTGTTGGTGTTGGTGCCGGCGTTCACGGGCATGGGAGCGACGCTGGCGGCGCCGTGTTGCCGAGCACGTGCGGGGGGGCGGCGGCTAGCTCCGGCGGCTTTCGGGCGGGGGCGGGCGGGGGCGCGGCCGACAGCGCAGCGGCGGCGGCGGCGGAGGCGGCGGCGGCGGTAGCGGGGGCCCAGGCTCCTGCGTGGTTGGGGGGGTGGGAGGACGGCGAAGCGGTGTCCTTCACGGGCAAGGGGAAGGGGAAAGGGCGTTGCAGAGACTGATGACATGGTTGGTCGATTCTTGCTGCGGTCCAGTGGGTGCGGTCATGAGATGATGTTGGTTTGTTTGTTCTTGGGTGAGAGTCTGCTGTCGTCGGATGAGTTTTGTTGGCAGGCCGATGGGCTCTGCCGTGGCTCTACCGGCTCGTTTTGTTTTTCTAGAATTGACCGGTTCATGCCGTATGCGTTGTTTTTTTTCTATGTGCGGTGTTTCTACTCTTGTTAGAAATGAAAATGATCAGGGGTGTGTTTTTTTTCATGTGCTTCGCGGGGTTTGGTGAAGTGCGTCTGCGTGTGCTTGTCGGAAGGGTTTACCTACCTGTTCGGATAATGAAAAGGGGGGTGTTTACGATGGAGGGAGTGCGGTCCTCTTATTCGAGCTTTGTGGATCTTTTTTTTTTGTGCTCTCCGGGTGTGGGGATTGATGTTTTGCGGGGGCTACGCGGAGCGGCGTCTTCAAGCGCTACTGCGACCTATTACCGGCTGTCTATTTATTCCAACATTGTGTGTTCGCTGGCGGCAGACACGTCGTTTTTTGTTTGCATGAAAATTTTCTTTGTCTCGTCTGCTGCCGTAAGCAGAGTTCTCCCGCTCTCGGCTACTGGTGTGGGTGCGTACCGTTTGTGTTTCTGCACCAGTCACGACAGGCGTTGGTTTGCGTATGTTTACGCTCGTTTCCGGCGCTTTCCCTGTCGTGGGCGAGCAGCGTGGTGTAGAGGCTTGTTTCACCGGAAGAAAGTTCTGCTGCTGAGTGATGAAACGCTTGTCGTTGAGGGGATCAGTACAACTGCGTCGGAGCAGCAGCAGCCTCAAGTGCTGGATTTGCACATGTCGAAACGGTGGCGGGTCTTTGCGACGGTTCAGGAAAATCGTTGATCTCGCCGCCTATTTTTAGGCTCTTGTCCGGACTGGGGTGCCCCCCTCCCGTCTCCTTTTGCGCGACGGGCAGCGCAAGCTGTGCGGCTTCGTGTATTGAGATGACCATATTTCTCTACACACCGACCGTGTTGTGCGTGTACGGGTGGGTGGGTGGGTGGGTGGGTGGGTTCAGACCACGGCATACATGGCGTTGGGGATGAAATCATGTTTTATTTCGATGAATAGACTGCCGGCCGATCACATTTCAGTGCGGCACCTCGAGCGAGGAGAGGTGAGGGAAAAAAGTAGGCGGTTTGTGGCCTGCTCTATGTACCGCCCAATGGTGTCGAGTTTGCTTAGAATATTGCATGTTCCTCGTGATGAAATGAATGATCTTTCACGATGTTTCACGGGGGGCGTCGGTCTTGCAATCCTTTCTGTTGGAGTACGGGATAGTTCACCGGGGCACAACATCCAGCGTAGGTTATAGACTAAACGGATCGAGGCTCGACGTTGGAGAACGCATATGTAGCTCCAGTGGTGACAGAATACCGATCGCTTTTTGACCGCTGCGCATGCTGAGACAAGAGAACGCCTTTGTGGGTTGTACTTGATGAATTTTGATAACAACTGGATGTGTGCATATGTGCAAAAATTAAATATTGGTTGCTGCATTGACGGTTGTTATAGAGCAGAGCTATCATAGCTGTGGTAGTGGTGTGGGGGTGGCGTCCAAGGGTGTTGGTAGTGAGGTAAGGGCGAACGGGCGGGGATTGAATTGTTTTCGAATGTTGCACCAGCGAGCTCGTCTCGCTTTGTGTTGCCGAAACGGACTGCCTCCGCAATCTTTGAGTACTCGCGGGTGCGCGGTTGGCGTTACAGTCTCTGGCTTGGCTGTAGTGGACTGCAACGCGTGTGCTGGGGAGGGGGCGTGCCCTGTGTTGGGCAGCTTGGATACTTCGAGGTTTTGGTGTATTTTTCGTTAACTCTAAAGAAGGGTGACGAGCGTGTGGAAGTACCACAACGAGTTGTCGAAAACCTGTCACAGTTATTCGGTAGGTTTCATGGGTGGCATCACAGGTGGCATCCTATGGATGGGCATGGTTGCGCTTGGATGACAACGTGCGTGTTTGTTGTGCTTTGACGTCGCTCACATGTCTTTAAGTTGAACACGCGCGGGTCCGTTGTGGACTAGTGCTGTCCGCCGTGATTGGATTCGTCTCTCCCCATTGGCTCATGTTTTTTGCCTCAAATATTCCTTGTGCTTCAGATGCGACTTGAGCGGAGCAGGTGCTAAGGTACCGCTCTAGCTCTCGTATCGCATTACAAAGCACCATCCACTACCTCCCATATATTCGTTCGTTCTAGGAAGGAAGAATAGCAGGCCGGTGTTGCACATGATGCATTTGAACTTCAAAGAGACCGAGAGAGAGAGAGAGAGAGAGAGAGAGAGAGAGAGAGAGAGAGGCCTCCGACCCGGTGGTCAAGTTCGGAACAAAAACTGTTGCTGTCACCCACCCCCCAACATCCAAGGAAAAGCTGCCGTTTCTTAATCTGTAGATCAATAGCAACATGTTACCGTGGCAGCAGGTGTCACTCATAGGCACCCTACCACAGGTCGATCGCGGTGCCTCCTGCGGCCACGCGGACGAACTAGTGGCATCTGCTAAAATAGCTCTTGCTTTTCAGAGGGCGACAGACACTGCAATAAACGACGGACGCTTGCCCAAATGAAATGCTCGCTCGATGGGTTCAGGCGATTTTTCGCGTGCAGAGAATGAGGTGATGCTGTCCGACGGGTCGTGGTTGCCCGACATTGTCATGGACACCGTTGTTAGCTTCATCAGCTGCCATCACCTAGTCTAGATAAAGATGGGATGGAAACATACCTGAGAAACATTGTAGTAAAGATGACGCTCGCACTTGAGAACTTAGCAGTTAAGAAATGCAGCCTCGAAAAAATCAATAGTTAACAACTTGGCCAGAAAAACACGTGCTCAGTTCCGACGCGGTCTTAACAACAAGAACCCGTATTTAATTATGGTTTGACAAAGCGCCTTCGGGTTAGAAGAGACCCCCCAAAAAGTGGCAGCTGCAAGATAAGAGCTCGTGGAGGTGGTCAGGGGTGACTCGCGGGGTGTCCGGTGACCCCACCCACCGGCAGTTTCAGATCAGCGACGTGGAGGGGGATCCCCGTTTCAAATAATACTGGTGCGGAGAGGGGGGGGGGCGGGGCGTACTCTTATGTTTTGCATATCTTAGTGGCTAGACCATTGACCACGCGTCCTCGAGAGGACGGAGTATTGTCCCCACAGGACCGAAGACCGATTTGCCAATCGTCCCCTCTTACTTTTACCAACAAAAAAGAGTCTCAAAAATGTTGTCCCTAGCCTGTCTATCCTATCGATATTCCGTCCCGCCTCTTCAACCCACGTTCTTTGCCCTAATACAGCTACCTAGCTGGTATTCCATGCCTCAAACATCTCCCTGTATCTTCCTTATACTGTTCCCAAGGCTCAGTCACGTAAAATCTCCTCTCCTTGTACAACAGACATTCCGCAACTACATGAACCCGGTGTTCGCACTCGGAGACACGTTCACATTTTACCTTGGTAGATGCGGAGGGGGG